AAATTAAAATTCTAAATTAAGTTACAAACTAAATTAACTTATTAAAAATACTAATTAATTCCTAGCAACAATTATCATATAAAATGAAATGACAATTAAAATACAATCACACAATTTGGACATTAAAGGCTAAAAATGCAAAAGATGCCTATTTTTATAATTTCCATTCTTGTAAAACAAACTTAATTACTCATAATTGCAAACTTAAATCCTAAATGCAAATGTGACATATTTTTTATTAATTTATCAAATAAACATGCACAGACAAATGCAAACAATACAAGAAAAATAGCACAAAATTCACAACAATTGCAAACAAACAAAAAATTATTTTATTTTTGGAATTTTCTGGAGTAATTCTCATATAGGGCAAAATTCACGTGCTTACAGGTATTGTCTTATTACGAATAAGATAGAATTTTGGAATTTGAATTCTTATAAGTGAGCTCTACCACACGATCTAGAGTAAGAAGAAAGAATGACAATCCTAAAGGCCTTGTAGCCTCCTGCTTATAAGTGTGGTGCATGACACACCCATAAACAAGACTCTACTAGACACGGCTTGTAGACTCCCTAGGACAGAACTGCTCTGATACCACTTTTGTCACGACCCAAATCGATGGGCCGCGACAGGCACCCGGTACCTTACTCAACTGAGTACCAATATAACGTATCTTTTCATGTCATACTATCATAAATAACTGAGCCGGAGAGGCTGCCGAGAAATAGGTAGAATACAACAGGTAATGTCAACTTATACATAAGACATATGGGCCTCTAAGACCTAAATGACCACTTGAACACTAAACATAGGCCGACAAGGCCATACAATCTTTTACGTACATGACATTTGTCTACAAGCCTCTAAGAATACATAATTTTCATAAAGGCTGGGACAGAGTCCCGCCATACCAAACAATACATATCTAACTCATACTAACCAAACAAGTAACTCCGAAGCAAATGGAGCACACCAACATATTCCGCCGAGCTGATAGCCTACTTGGAGGGCTTTTGACCTGTCTATCGGGACCTGCGGGCATGAAACGCAGCATCCCCGGGCAAAAAGGGACGTCAGTACGAATAATGTACTTAGTATGAAAGGCATATAAATAAGTACATAACAGACATAGAGGAAATATATAGTAAATGACTCCACCTGTAAGTCTGAATAACTTTGTAAACCATGAAATAATTATAGTATTATGTATATGTGTATGAATGTCATGTCGTGCATATGTACATGTTTCATAACATCATCAGCCTATGAGGGCATCCCATCATATCATCTTGGCCATTGTGGGCAAAGTCATCAATGTATACCAGCTGATCAGGTGGTGGTGCGTATATAATGCCGTAACCATTTCCGATATCCCATATACATATATACACGTATATAACGCTATCTGGTCATAGGTCAATCACATGTATAAATGGGTGAAATGTATGAAAAATACATAAAAAATCTCAATATTCCTTCTGGATAAACTTTTTTTAACTGCGTATTATTCTGAGACCCATGAACAGTAGAGTAATTTATGAAAACTGTGTGTTTGCTCGTTTCTTCAGTATAATTTGGACCATGCCAAAAAAAGAAGGGATGGCCGTAACATACCCGAAGTAGGAAAAACTCTGTATAATATTCTTGGAGAAGATTGCACCGTACTCCTTTAGGACCACAAAATTTTTACGTTGCTACGGTTCTAGTCAATTCTTGTTATAATTGTTTGCAATAATTTTGTTGGAGATTTTAAAACTTGGCATCTGCTTGGAAAGTTGAATTTAGGATGAAAGAGTTAAATTTCATTCTCACTAAAATGAACTAAGCTTTTTGAAAGACCAAGCTTTTAAAATGACAAAGCTTTTCTTGTAATTTTTAGTGACTTACACGTTTTAGCCACTAAGCACATATGACTAATTAGTCATATGTTTGAATGGTGGCCTACTGCCACATAGCGAGTGGGTTGGAGATTATTAATCTTTACCCACTTATTAGTTAACTGGATAATGTTCTGTTACCCGGTAATTAATCAATTACCCGCATAATTTAAAAATTGCCCCAAATTACTTAAAATTATACTTATTTTTAATATAATTTTTATACATTATACTACCGTGGTCATATGGTATCTTACATGGTACTAGTTCATAATTATCGGGTATTATCGCTCGACCCGTATTTTATCCCAAATGCCAAACTTGGACGAAAATTCGTTTCCTTTGACTTGCTTCCCCTCTCACCTTCATGAATTTACTTATTACTTGTTTGAAATAGCATAATCCTTATAATCTCTGAATAATCTTTTCCTTGGACTGATGTCAATTACCTTACGACAAATTCAATGTACAATACTACATGGTGTAACATCGTCATAATGTAGTACTGTGGGACGTGACATCTCACTTCCGGGCTCTCATTAATTTATTTATGGCATATTTTCATGTATGAAAATATGGGGTGTAGCATCTTCAAATGTCACGACCCAAATCCTAACATGTCTTGAGGCGCCTATTGTGGTACTAGGCAAGCCGACATTTACGAATAATTCCAACACTTTTAATAAAAATAAATTTAAAGCAGTCTAAATAACACTTCTCTTAACATGGTAAAAAGATCCCAAACACAACGCGGAAAAACAACTCCCAAATCGGAGTGTCACATATTACATGAGCATTTAACGTCACAAGTCTGAAGTACACTATCTAAGATAGTCTGAAACAGGATATAATAAAAGGAAAGATAGGGATAGAGAAACAAGGACTGCGAACGCCGGGCAGCTACCTCGAAGTCTCCAAAGATCAGCTGTGCAAAGTATCAACACCCACCGTGTCCAGAAACACCTGGATCTGCACACAAAGTGTAGGGTGTAGCGTGAGTACAACCAACTCAGTAAGTAACAATACTAAATAAAGAACTGAAAGTAGTGACGAGCTCTGCAATTATAGTTCAACTTCAGAAATTTCAAAATAGGAAAATAGGCATGCTTTCAAGTTCGACAATTTAGGCCAAATCAGTTATCCTATATCAATTCAAGTAAAACAGAATATAACATCTTTAGAAAAACTTCCAGACAGTGATATATGTCAGCTAAGTGCAGCAATAATGAAGTCAAGGGCATTCTCACAGAGCAACAATCACTCAATCTTTCTCAATAGCTCAGCACTCGGCATTCGGCATTCAGCACTCAACACTCAACACTCGTACTCAATAGATACTTACGCTCACTGGGGGGTGTACAGACTCCGGAGGGGCTCGTTCAGCCTAAATGCTTTATCGCTGCGACGTGCATCCCGATCCCATAATATATATATATATATATATATAGGGCCAGAAGGCTTGTTGCGACGTGCAACCCGATCCACATATATACAACCCTAAAACTCGTTGCGGCGTGAAACCCGATCCATATATATACAACCATAAAGCTCGTTACGGCGTGCAACCCGATTCATATATATATACATATCGCTCACAGCTCGGAACTCAAGCCCTAACTCAGTCACCAACCTCTCCAGTCTCTCGGGCTCTCAGAAATTATAAAATCAGCCCAAACAGAAATGATGTAATGTATCAACAAGAAACAAGAAGAGGCTGAGTTATGATATGCAAGTAAAACTGTGAATGAGTACAAGACAACAATTAGCAAATAATTTAACAAGTACGCGACCTCTGCGGGTCCCAACAGTATCAACACATAGCCTAAACATGATTTCTAACATGATTTGCAGTCAAATTTCTATAACACAGGGAGAGCATATAGCTAACAACAAGTTATTCAACTTTGCAGTTCCATGGAATGCACCAAGTCACAAGTCCTACGGTGCACGCCCACATGCCCGTCACCTAGCATGTGCGTCACCTCCAAACCAATCACATAACACACAATTCGGGGTTCCATACCCTCAGAACCAGATTTAGAACTGTTACTTACCTCAATCCGTGCCAATCTCTACTTCAACACACCTTTTCCTCGCGAATCGACCTCCAAATGCTTCGAATCTAACCACAAACAATACGATAAAATCAACATGGGCTAAAGGAATCAATTCCACAGGAAAATACGAGATTATAAGTCAAAAATCCAAAATCGGCTCCGAGCCTGCATTTGGGCCCACGTCTCGAAATCAACAAAAGTTACAAAACCCGAAAAACCCATTCAAACACGAGTCTAACCATACCAAATTTATCAAAATCCGACACAAATCGCCACCCAAATGCCCAAAATTAACTCTCCAAATCCCTAGTCTCAAACCCCCAAATTACACCTCAAAAACACACCAACTAGGTGGGAAAATCAATAGGAAAACATAATTATTGAAGAAATTTAACCACAAGTGACTTACCTCAAGAATCCCTTCGAAATCCCTTTAAAAAAATCGCCCAATTCCGAGTTTGCAAAGTCAAGAAATGATAAAACCCTCGGAACCCAACATTTATATTCTACCCAGGCTTTTCGCACATGCGGCCAATTATCCGCACCTGCGGACCCGCTTCTGCGATTAAACCTCCGCATGCATAATTCACTTACCTAGTGTGCCTCCTCTTCTGCGACCCTTTCCCCGCATCTGCGCAATCGTAGGTGCGGAATAAATAACACTCATATTACATTTATATTACTAATCATTATATAACTACCGCATAACTAATTCCAACATAACTCATCCTTGCATAATTTATCCCTGCATAACTAGCACATGCATAACTAATCCTCGCATTACTTATTCGTGCATAACTAATACATACATAACTAATATCTGCATAACTAATACATGTATAACTATTACCTGCATAATTCTAATCGGCAATCAAACGACCCTAAGTGGCTAAATTGTATTTAGCCCTTTATTACAAGTCAAATTTAAACTCAACTTGATTTTTCTATTTCTTGTATTTTTAATTTATTTTTAGTTTTCGCTTTAGGTTATTATTATCTGGAAAAGAAAGGTTAATAAATGAAAAACAAATTACAACTAATAAAAAAATCAAAAGCAACCAATCTTTGTAGGGCAAATCTCTAAACCCCAAGTCCCTTCTTCTTCTTCTTAAACCCTGCAATTTCAAAGTAGAGATTTCACCTCCAAACAAAACCATCAATGGATGTGGAAGAAGATATACCAACGGCCCAAAAATCCACTCCTAGAAAACGTGGAAGGCCTGAAGATGATTATGATCGTGGAATTAACCAATCCACCGAAAAAAGAAGATTAAACGCAATCATATTAGCAAATTCAAAACCAAGTTATTGCCTAAAGCGAGGTGTAGGAAGTTTACACCAAGATTTTCAGAGTTTACGGTCTGAACATAGGCGAAGACTTCGGCGTTTACTGCAAAAATTGATGCGGCAACATAAATGGGCTGAGGCTAGTGGTGTATTAAGCGTACTTCTTAAAGGGACTGTACAAGAAAAAGCCATATTGAAAACTCGGAACAAGTTTACGGTACTGGACAATTTAATCACAATTGCTTTCTTTTGTTTTTGTTTTAAAAAAACTTTTTATTCAGTAGAATAGTTATGGTCTATTAATGTGGTTTAATACGGTTTTAGGCTACTTTGGAGCTTATTGAGCATATAAAAGGTGACACTATGAGTACTAGAAGGATACAGAATATTTATGAGCTTTGGATGAAGAAGCTTGGACCTATGAAAAACTGGCCCATGAAGGTAAATATTAGAAGGAAAAAAAAGAATATATTATTTCTTATATGTTTGTTCATTAGCTTCGTGCTTCTCTAAGTTGATCATTTTCAAGTGTTTCTGTAACATTTACTATTTCCTTGTTAAGTACTGTCAGGCTAGGATTTTAGTATTTGTTCATATTTTGTGGATTTCTTAACACATATATAAGGTCTAGGTCAAAACTATTGGGTTCAGCCGCACCCATATATTACACTGTATATCCGCCCTTCCGTACCCTTTATGTGCAATGTGTTAGTAAATTTACTTTCATTAACCCCAAAAAGTTATAAAGAACAAGATTTGTTTTCGTGGAAAAACTAAGTCTAGTGACTATTACTGCCTCTGTCTCAATTTGTTTGATGCAGTTCGAATTTCGAAAGTCAAACTTCTCGATTCTGATCGCGAAATCGGATATAGAATACTTAAGGTTTTTGAAATAAGTTTACATATTTGAAAACTATATAACAAGTACTATAAGTCACAGTAATTAATAATTCAATATATTTAAAAGGCATATGAAAAAACCGTGGTCAAGGAAAAACCTGTTTGACTTTGGAAATCTGAACTGTATCAAACAAATTGGGACAGAGCAGGTATTATTTTTGTTGTTGTTATTATTATTATTATTATTTTAGGAAGCACTAATATAAAATATATAGTTTTGAAGGTGGTTAAAGTACTAGTGATTTAATTATATGGCCTCTGTAACTAAGTTTGATAAAAATGCTTGACATGTTACAGTTGAGATAGCCACGGGGCTGTTCAGGACCTCTTAGGGAAAAGTGCCATTGATTATCATGTTTATAATTGGATTTATGTCTTCATATTATGTAATGTAAGTCACAGGATGCTAGTGATAGTGAAGTTTGAGATTGAATTCCTTTATATGCATTGTTATTTGAGGTATCAAGCTACCTGCATCTCTTTCTAGGTCTTTATTTAAAATTTTAAGCAATTTCATATAGAGTATCGAGCTAGCTACATCTCTTCCTTGCTCTATAAAATATTGCCACCTAATGTGATAGTGCTCAAATGGCCAACCCTTATGGAAAAAAAGAGAGTAAGCAAGTTGTTATTTTCTGTTATAGGGGAAATCCAATATAATAAAGGAAAAGAGTTCCCCTTTCTTAGTCTTGGATACCTCTTTATGTATGTGTTTTCCTTTTTTTTCCCATTTCAAAAAAGGAATAGACATATATAAAGAGGTGTCTAGGACTAAGAAAGGGAAGTCTATTCACTGGATCAGATGGTGCATTTTTTGGTTGCTGTAGTTACTTTAGTAAATGCTTATCATAATATGGATCATATCGTACAGGTGATGTTATGCCACTTCTTTGTTTGTAATTGGTAGCCATAGAACTGAATTTCACCTTTATGGTAGCTCATTGTGAAGTTTGAATTTGTGGCAGGATCGTTTTGCTGTTCAGTTGGAATTCATCCTTTTCTGTCTCAAATGCGGGAACACAGAGGACGCTCATCAGGCTGCCTTATCGTAAGTTCTTGTCTTGTAATGAATGATGATTTTTATCTTTCTCATGTAGGTTGGCGAAAAATCAATTGCCTATTAATAGAAGAAAGTTTCATTTATTTTTTTGAGAAAAGAACTAAAGTTCTAAAAAGGGGTCTAGGATGGTAGTCTTTTTTATTGAGCTATATCTGACTTTTTCCTAATCGTGTCAATATTTTTATCTAATAGTATTGTGCTATCACATGCAGAGGAAAGTGACACTCTCTGGAGCGAAAGACTCCTCATTAACAGTTAGAACAATAATTCTATTTGCAACTTCGTTTAAGAATCTGTTTGCTTGTTGGTTTGAATCTTTACAGTAGTGTGGTTAACACTGTCAAAAGAGCAGGTTCTTTGATATTTTGTGGTGCGTAACTCCGTCAAAAGTAGCGTGCCTTTGGTCGGATTGTGATCTGGGAAGCTTGCTTAACCCAGGATAATCTCCAAAAAAAGAGGTTTTGTCTTTTTAACAGATGTTATTTGTGTGAGGAGGATCAGGAATCGTCAGAACATCTATTAAGAATAAGTGTTGCATAATCTTTTCTTCTGGTGTAAGAGCATGCAAATTGGAAATATGGATCAGTGCATGGAGTTCTTAGAACTGTTTGAAGGAAGTAGTTGCATACTTGATGTAGTACCGTATCCTCTGCTCCTTCAAGAGTCATGTACTTTTCTTTTACCATCTTAGTACCTTTATCAATAAAAAAATTTCCATTTCAAAAAAGATTTCCGTCAAAAGAGTAAGGGAAGAGCCCTGCCAGTCCTCCACCCCCCAGTTGATTGTTCATTGAATATTAAAGAACTCACATTCTCATAAACAATATTCCCCCAATTTCAATTTACGTAGTTTGATTGTGCACGAAGTTTGAGAATAAAAGGAAGACTTTTGGAACTTGTCCCTTGAAAGTTTAAAGGGTAAAAGCTTAAATGTGACCATCAATTTGTGTGGCTATAAAAGCTTCTCATTAAAGGTAAAATGGGTAAAAGGAAAAATTTAAAGTTAAATAGCTTTCAAATATAGAAATATGTCATTCTTTTTGGAACAGACTAATAAGGAAAGTGTGTCACATAAATTGAAATTGGAGGGAGTAGTATGCTTGGAGAACAAGGTTGACACAAGGATAGGCAGGAGAAGTATGCCACATGAAACAAAACGACTGATTACACATTCAGGCTGTGTCAAGCTTGTTCCACATTTTAGTATGACACCAATTATTGTATAAACTAGATGTAGGCCATTGATGATTTCTATTATTCCAATAACTAAAAAGAATTTTAACATTATATACTTAGTTTAATTTTTAAAAATGGGTGGTTTGACAGGAGTGTGTGCGCAGCCATTATATTTCTGAGGATTCCAACTACTCTCTGTTATATATTTCATCTGGATTTAGATGAATCATAATTTGTCTTCGCTAAACATTGTGGATATGTTAATCTAAAATGTGTCCATGAAGTCTAATCAAGTAAGATTGAGCAATATTACCTTCTTCCGTTTCTCTCGATGTCCAACTTTAAACCAAGTAAACATGAGTTGCATATTAATAATCCTCTCTGTTCAGTGATCAATGTTTAGTGTGAAAAATTGTTGCACAAATATGTAGGTATCAATAGTCAGTCATATTTTTGGTGGCAAAGCCGCAAAATCCTTTCTTTTAAGATGACTGCTTTGTTGGAATTCAGTGTAGCATCTGTTTATATTTTTGTTAAAATTCCAAAGGCTTAATGTACCCTTCTTGGCTGTGATTTGTGTCAGTGTCATGCAGGAACGTGGTTTTGAGAGTGATCCTGTCTCTAATTTAGTTGTGGGCCTGACTTTTTATCAGTTATGGTATTCTACTATCCCGAAGGAGTTGCATTTGCCAGAGTTGGACAGATTTGATAGCCCGGTGCAGTCAGAGAACTTCGAGGACAGAATATATATGTCCATTTTAAATTCAGAGAGGCATGATGCTGTTGAAGGCCAAGAGGCTAATTCTCCGTTACATTGTGATTCAAACACCTCTATTAGGAATGACAAAGAGATCTCGGGAGTTGATCTCAGTCAACTGAGACAAGTGCCTGTGGTCTTTGATGATAATGTGCCGGGAGAAACACGAAATGACAATTTTCAGGCACAAGATTTTTACATGAATTCTGCTGAAAGAAGTGATCATGAAGGTTCTTCTATGGGTCATAGTGGTGATGTGCCTTATCATTCCATATTCTACAGTCGCGGTGAGTTGTGCTCATGGCTTAAATATTTTCTATGCTTCTATGTAGTCATATCTGGAATTCAATTCTGTAGCAAATTTTGTTTTTACTTGTAGAAAACCCTATGAGCCTGGTTTCTGGCAGTTGGACTTGGACTTGAGTACATGTGTAACATGGACTGAAAAAAACAAGTTCTCTTTTCTTTTTCCCTTTTTTCTTGTGAGGGCTTAGACCCTTTATCTATTTGTCTTAAAAGGAAGGTTGGGACAATGGATGACTGACTATCGATGATTTCTAGAATGCACTTGTCTCATAAATCATTCGAATAATTATATTTAGTTTGTACAGGTTATAATATGCTTGTAGCTACTAATACTTAAGCTGATCTTTGCTTCGAGTTTAGGTAATTTACAAGTATCAGCATCGTGTATACTTGGCCGAAAAAAGTTACATATAATAGCATAGGTATGAAGTTATAGGCAAGTATTCTCTAAATCTGCTTTGTGCCGTTTGAGAGCTTTCCAGATGAGTGGGAGCAGCAGCTGGCTAATGGCAGCAGTGGTCATAAGCCTTCCCTCATTTTGGATTGTTGGATAAACATATCTGCAACGAATATGGGGAAAAAACGTTAAGGCTTTTTAATCATTGTTAACTTTGGATGGTGGCGAAATGGGCCTCTAAGTATATGCTTCAGTTTACTAAAAGGATGATATGAAGACGAGGAAGATACTATTTTAGGAGAGTGGACATCCTCTTAGAATGTTGTCAAAAGGATCAAAAGGCAGTTGATATGAGGTGAAGACAATATGGAATTTCTAAGCCCTTCAATCCCTGTGAAGGTGGACATTGTGTATTCGGCTAGGTGCAGATTTTGTAAAGTCCAAAGTTCATGTATTACTGTCTGTTATGTATGGAATTTGGGATATGTTATGTTCGTCTTGGTGATAAAAGATTTAAATCCTGATATTTCTTACTCTATTCAAATGTAGGTCTTCCATTGTGGTTATTGCCTTTACAATTGCCTTCCTCAAATGAAAATTTAGAGGATGACCTCGCTATGCACCGGACCTTGCGTAATAACCATTATAAGAATGCAATAAAGTATTTACGACATGCTTTGTACTCGAATCCACCAGCACTCGAGGCTTTTCATCCTTTAATACAGGTAATATTGCTTATGTCCAAGTAAGAATTCATACTGTATATTTTCAAACTGTATTTGGAATTGCTTTTATGTAGACATGCTAGGAAGTTCGTGCATTTTCACATTATCCCATCTTTCTCGAGCTCATAATTAAGCTTGTATATTAAACCCACCACCTGAAATTAGTTTCATCTTAAGTTGTTTGTGTTCAAGAACGTTAAAAGCTACTACTATGAAAGACTTGTTAATATATACTACTTTTATATTATATCTTGATAAAATCAAGATGCATAGAAAGGATATTTGCATGGTAAGATATTGATGTTTCCTAATATAATTCTTAATGTCTATTGTCATATATTAAATATAAACTTAATCTGTAATTAAAGTTTGAACTTGCTTACTGGCCTTTTCACTTTATTGAGCAAGCAGGACTTGGCTTGGCTGAATGACACCTCCACGTAGCCTTCGCGAAGAAGGTTTTTTTTGGGGGGGTTTGNAAAAATTTCCATCTCATTTATGTATCAGTTGTGAGAGATATATTTATATAATATCTTTTTCACGTTCTTGAACATCAATATCTTGGCAGATGCTGCTGCTCGGGGATCAGGTAAAGGAGGCTCTTGATGAGGTGGAAAAATTTTCTCCGTACTCCGACACATCATTTCAGTTGAGGTAACTGTTTCTTCCTTGTGAAAAGTTGAATGTAGCCTAGAAAATAATGACATGATGAGTATTGAACTTCTCTGACTAAACAGTGTTGGTGCCTAGGATATCAGTATTGCTGATATTGGATTTGATGTGAAGTGAATGATTAAACATTGAAGTGGTGTTGACTGCTTAATAGATGTTGCCACTTAAACTTTTCTTCACTATTTGCTAGAGATCTTTATGGAAAGTGATCCAACCTGTAGTTTCTCTTAACCAAGGTGGATCATACATCATAGTTGTTCAAATGTCACTCGGTGTTTAGTAATTACCCGCTCAATGCATATGATATTTTAAGTACAGTGATCTTCTCTTAGGACCTTTAGTGCAGGTATGCCGTTTGGAAGGTCCATTGTTTAGTACTTTAGGTGCAAGGTACCCTGTTCTGCACGGTATGATTCATTGTCTTTTACTGCTGCATCAGCAGACAATTACCGTTGTTAAAACTCTTGCGTCACACAATGATTAAAGTTCTTTTGCCTTGTCCAGCCCTTTCTCAGTTGGTCCGTCTTTTGCAAAGATTTTGTACCATCATTTGTCCGACTGCTCTCACTCTTCAGCTACCGTGCTCCATAGACAAACAAAACTCATTTGCCTAAGACCTTTGTGCAACGTTATTAACACAAATGCGCTGCTCCGCGTAGCCGAGTGCTCATGAGTCAGGATCCTTTCTCGTCAGGCATGCTTTATTAAACAAAGGAAATTTACCAGGGAAATTTAAAACAATTTGCCGTATTGAGTTTCTTGTCGTGTCTTTAGTTGAATGTTTGATGTACAATTGAGCATTATTTGTCGTTAGTCGAGTGCGTGATGTACAACCGAGCATTATTACTTTCTCCAGTTTTACTCACTACATCTGATTTCTTCTGGTTTCTTTATTCTTAATCATGCAGGTTGAAAGCTGCTATCTTGGAGCATTTTGACAGTGGTAACTATGTCAAACTTTCAACAATGTTTGAGGAAAATTTGGAAAAGGATCCTACATGTAGCCACTCATTAGGGAGACTCATCAGCTTGCATAGAAGTGGTACATACCTTACCTGAAAAATTATTTTATTAACTTCATCCTGAAGAGATAAGAGACACAATAATCCTAGTGCTTCCACAAGGTTTGAAGTACCGACTTAAGGAACACACATGCAAGAAATAATGCTCAATAATTTCCTTACACAAACTATTCGTTCTATAAAGAAAATGGACCTTGGGCCTAACTCAACTCCAATAGTTAGCTATGAAGGATGATTTTCCATGATCATATAAGGAAACAACTCATTCCCTCAGCCAATGTGGAGCGCACTTAACATCCCCACACATCTAAATCATGACATCTAAGAACAACATAACTTGTGGACCCAAAATTGGATAAACCAAGAACATGGATGAACCTGGCTCTGATACCATGTAAAAAATTGAACTTTGGGCGTAACTCTAACTCCAAAAGTGAACTCATGAAATGAGCACCGGCCATCGGTTCTTATCAAGTTTAATATATCTAATATATGGGCCATCGGTCCACACGATATTAACTCAATTTTTTAAGGAGGAGGGTCCATTAAGGTAGCTCGCTATCTGGGTCTTGCGTGTCGTTATTGCGTTGCACTACTGCTCGGGCCAGGCGCACCCCACCAAAAAAAAAAATGTACCGGCCAAGACTATATAAGGAGATGACAGCACGTTCTAACCAATGTGCACTTGGCCTTTCAAAAGTGTAAAAATAATATTACTTAATTTTATGTTCAAATCCAATAATTTTGCCCCTTCCATTTTGGACAATTTTGTGGCAAGTGTTTGTATCTGTCCTAATAGAAAAGTGGACACCAGTGCCAGAAGGTTCGTGCCCAGACGGGCTGGGGGAAGGCAAATCTAGACAGCCTCATTGGAGAGGCTGGTTCCACGATTCAAACCATAGTCACCCATAGAAACGCAGAGTGCTTCTCCATTGCTACGAGGCTAGCCTTCATCAGTCCAAAATGATCAGGAAAACTGAACGATCTGCAGTGCCATTAAAAAGAAAGAGATCATATGTATGTACTAGCGAATTTCAGATCTCAAAATAGAAGGAAACCATCTCTGTTTATTCGCAGAAAACTATGGGGACCTATGCTTTGCAAGGTACTCTAGTTCTAGATTTGTTGATTATAGCAGATGATCATCAGAAACATCAGAGACTTGATGAGATTAGTGCAACAGATTCTACAACCCCTCAACTCTCTACCTGATCAATGAAGACATCTGTGTGCAACAAGATGACCATAATATTGAAGGAAGGAGAGGTCCCAGGGGTTTAATTGGCAAAGGTTGAGGGACTTGTGTCATAGGTCACATGTTCGAGCCTTGTGCCAAGCAAACTAACTGTGGTATTTAAGTGGAGAAGGATAGAGAGGTGGACCCAGCATCCCCGAATCTCAAAGACTGCTGTTGGCCCAAAGGATCGGCTCCAGATGAGTTTCTCGGTCCTCAAAAATTATTGAAGGAAGGAGAATCTTAAGGAGAATTCAATCAATATGCTTCCTTCATATAACCCTTTTTTTGTTATGTTGCACTAAATAGAGAGATATTTGACATCTTCTGATTCATTTTGTATTTGTGTTAAGCTCATGCATATGAAGTCCTTGCATGTTTTTCAAGTTTCTCTTCATGAAAGGATAATAGCAGAAAAAAATAGCATATTATGATTTCATTTGATTGCATGATTTCATTTCAGGTTGAACTCACTTCTGATTCAACCTGAACAAATGTTTCATTATACGAAACTGTCTCAAATGATACCTTCGTGATTGATGAACTATTCATTGTATATTGAGTTTTATCTGTTTTCTTGGGCTCGGTTCATCAACCTTAGGAGAGTATAGCACTGAAAAGCTTGTGGAAATGATAGCTTTGCATTTGGATGCTACTCTTGCAAAATGTGACACATGGAAGGAGTTAGCGTGTTGCTTCCTGAGACTTTCTCAGTGTGAAGAAGATTGCATGTCTGTGTGCTTCAATGGTGAAGGTAGTGAGAAGCAAAATTTCTCGAACCAGATAAATCAGATTCCAAAAATATTTAGGAATTATGAATCTAGCAAGTCTTGGACGTTTCGTTGCAGATGGTGGCTGACACGTCACTTCAGCCAGAGCATACTCACTTCAGATATTGGTTCAGGTACAGCTTCATGCCTTTCTTGTTAGCATGCAATTTACTTGACATTTTTACCATAATAAAGGTCCAAATACTAAAGCTTTGGGGGCTTGATCTTGGTTTGAGGTGATTATAAGGTTGTGTGTATCTGTTTTTGTTGCATAGGATCACTTGGTTTGAAGACAATCTCTGATCACGTATTTCTGAAATCTGAATCACCTTGATTTTTATTTGCCTGAAAATAGTTGTGGAAAAGTGCATGGACCCTAACAAAAAGAGAGCGTCTGGTGATTGAGCTCTTAAGTTTTTTCTAGTTTCTTAATACTAAACGTATATGATGCCAAAGCCAAGAATTGACTTTACAGTTGGTTGATAGATGAATTTAGAAAATTTTAAATTCAAATTATTAAAAAATTACAATGATTCCGTTTGGCCCGCTGAAGTACGGCATCTTACTATAAAGTAAGATATCATGGTTTTTGATTGTTTTTAACTGAAGTAAGACACTTTGCTTTTTTAGTAAGGCACAGTACCTTTTTTAAGGGGTTTTCGTCTTTTTAGATGCTCTTATTTAGATATTGCTAGTGCGTTTCTTAATACTGTGATTACTTGTTGAGTGCAGGTGATTGGGAACTGCTGACTTACAAGGCCGCGGTGGCATGTTGCCTTTACGGGCGAGAATTTATGTATGTAGTGAAAGCTAGGGAGTGTTTGGAAGAGGAATCAAGTAATAAGAATATGTCTTCCATTTTGCACATGCATGCCAACAGTTGTACTGGATTTTACTTCAATGTACACAAGTAATTTTGTGCTGAACTGCTATCCTTTTCCGTTCTCTGTTTTTTTATTTAGGCGAGTTATCAAGCACCTCTTCTCATTCCCTGGGTGGTTTTCCTCTGCTACAGTGATAGACCCATAATTTCAGTAAGAGGAGTCAAAATATAAAGAATTAAAAACACGAAGAAACCATGTGTAATTTTTCAGCAAAGTGTGACTACAATGTAATTTTTCAGCAAAAAGATATCAAATGACACACCTTAATATAGGTGTGGTTCTGCTGCAGCTTTAGGAGATATCGTCCTTTGAGACTGTGTGTAATAATCCGACTGGTCGTTTTGAGCAATTGTGTCCGATTTGGTAGTTTGAGGTCACGAGCAGCTTCATATTATGTGTATTGACTTGCGTGCGCAGTCCGGGCGTGAAACCGAAAAACTTTTGTGTGAAAATATAAAAAATATAGTAATTTCTAGAGTTAAAATTTGGTTAATATTGACTTTGGTCAATATTTTTGGTAAACGGAACCGGATCTGTGTTCCGACAATCCCGAGAGGTCCGCGGTAAAATATGGGACTTGGACGTATGCTCAGAATTGAATTCCAAGGTCCCTAGCCTTAGAAAACAATTTTTGAAGAAAATTGTTGTGCTGTTTTTTAAAGGAAATAAAGAAATAAATTAATGTTTGAACTCGTTGGTATCGGGCTCGTGTTTTGGTTCCGGAGCCTGGTACCCCGATGGCTTGGGTGAATTTCGGATAGGTTTAGGCTATGTTGCGCTTGTTTTTGGATGCTTCATCGTCGTTTCTTCAAGCAAAAATGATGCCACATTGAGCAAATGAGATCCAAATTCAGATTTTATTGAGCCATTAGATTCATATCAAAATTACGGATCCATAGAAAAAAGAATCATCGAATTTGGACATCGTATGGGGAAGTTATGCTCATTTTCGTGTCGGGAAAAATTGCTGGTTTCTGGTGTGATCGCAAATGCTAACTTTTTCATCGCAATTGCGATGCCCAGTTCCCAAATGCAAACTTTTTGTCACAAATGCGACTTCTGCCAGCCCTGCCTTGTTCGCAATTTGCAAGAGTTCGCAATAGGTCGCAAATGCGACATCTGAGGCCAGTTAAGTGAGATTTTTGATGGGATTTTCACCCATTTTTCAACTTTCTCAAACCCTAAACCTCAATAGGCGATTTTCCAAAGACCCAAACTTCTCCAAATCATTGGGTAAATGTCTCTAATCAATTTCCAACTATATTTTGTGATTATATCTTAGATGTAACATCAAATTCATGAGAATCTAAAGGAAAATTTGTGAAATCTTTCAAAAATGTAAAATAATGATTTGAATGACCAAATAGTATCGGAATTAGATAATTTTTGTATGGGTTAACTCGTAGTGGAATGGGTGTTCGTTTTTTGTAAATTTTGTCGGGTTCCCGGGGAGTTGACTTTTGTTGACTTTTTGTAAATTGTATAGAATCATAATTTTGTTCATTGGAATTGTTTTCTCTTGCATTATTTGATATATTCAAGTCGCTTTTGACTATATTGAGCCGAGCGTTGATGAATTGGTAAAGGAAAAGCTAAATTGAATATTGAATTGGCCGGATTGAGGTAAATATCTTGCCTAACCTTGTGTGGGGGACTTCCCCTTATGATTTGAGTCTTCTATGCTAATTGTAGTTTGTGCATGCGAGGTGACGAGTGTGTGCTCGGACTTATTTGTGGGAAATTTGCTCTAGGGTTCTTAGGTCCTTTTGTCTATTATGTGGAAAGTATCCCATTGTCACACCTCCTTTTTCCGCCCCCGCGGGGGTGAAGGAGTTTTTCCAATTAAAGGACAATCGAAACGGGATTTATTTATTTATTTCAGAGCCGCCACTTGGGAGATTTAGGGTGTCCCAAGTCACCTATTTTAATCCCGAACCGAGGAAAAGAATGACTCTGTATTACAGTCCGCGAACCAAAAATCCGGATAAGGAATTCTGTTAACCCGGGAGAAGGTGTTAGGCATTCCCGAGTTCCGTGGTTCTAGCACGGTCGCTCAACTATCATATTCGGCTTGTTTATCTGATTTTATACAATTATACACTTATGTGCAAATTTTATCTTTTTACCGCTTTCATAATTGTTATTATTATTTTTACAAGAATGTGAACATTGTTTAAAACATGTCTTTGGATCGCGTCACATAAAATGCACCCGCGATCCGGAATGTATTTTTTATTCAATGTTTTGGGATTTGAATTTGGGTCGCATAAATGCGCACCCGTGTTTAGGAATGTATTATTATTAAAGTCGTGCCTAAAGCGATTAGCGTATTATTATTTCTGGGTAAGATTGTGGAATTCACTAAACAGTCCATCCCGAATTCTAAATACTCAATTAAACATTTATTGAGGGTCCCGCAATTGGTGCATTTTATTGAGCGAGGCTCGTCTCATTTTATTTTTAAAGGACAGTCCTAAAATGCCTACATTTTTCTCTTATT